TGACCTATTTCAAAAAGGAAAAAAATCACCTAGGTTCCAGAAGAGGTCTCTGTTCTTCTAACTTCCCTACATCACATTCCCAATCTTTCCAAATTACATCTAAAATGTGAAACAAGGAATCTGTAAAACAGACCTAATTTCATACTCTGCAGCCATGAAAAAAACTGAGGCCAATCCTAAAGTAATGAATGGTTAGTAGAGTCAAACTGCTAGAGTTCAAACCCAACTGTGCCACTTAACTTTATGACTTTATGACTTTGTGAAAGTTCCTTCTCTACTCTTCAGTTTTCTCATCTCTAAAATGGGTTGTTGGGAGGGTTAAAAGAAAATTACATGTAAAGCACTTAGAACAATAAGCACCAAAAAAAAAATACCATTATTACTATTAAAATAAATCAACTGATAGATATAATTCAATTAAAGAATACTATGATTCTATTTCTGTATGTATCTATACATATTTACATATACAAGTATATGCACGGAAGCCGTAGAAGGATTCAAACAAATTCTTGGTATTGAAAGAGTTTTACGTTCTTTCTTCCCCTCTATACTGCTTCCCCTCTAACCTATTCTCAACTCTTCAGCAAAAATATCTACTTGAAAAAGAGATGCTCAACTTATCGTAAATTGAAAATATCTTAAATCAAAAATGCATCTAATACACCCAACCTACCCAACATCATGGCTTAGCCTAGCCTACTTTAAACATGCTCAGAACACTCATATTAGCCCTACAGTTGGACAAAACCATGTAACACAAAGCCTATATAACAAAGTATTAAATATGTAGTTTATTGAAAGTGAAAAACAGAATGGTTGTACAGGTACTCAAAGTATGATTTTTACTGAACATGTATCATTTACCATCATAAAGTCAAAAAACCTTAAGTCAAACCATGGTAAGTTGGAGACCATCTGTAAACTGCTTCAATGTCACCCCTCATCTTAAAACACTTCAGTGGTTTTTTATTACCTTATGGATCAAATCCAAACTAACTACCAGGCCTTGCATGTCCTGGCTCCTGCCTAGCTCTCCTCATTCACTACACTGCAGCCAGAGATTCTTTCAGTCCCACTATTTATTAATATGCCAAATTCTTGCTTGACTGCAAATGCTGCTGGAATGCTCTTTTCTCTATTCTTCCTAAAGCTAATTCATGCTCATCAGCTCAGTTAAAAGTCATCTTCTCAGAGGCTTTTCCCAGATCACTCTTATTGAAGATCTTCCCCTATTTTTCTTTCTCAACTCCTTTTTTCCTTTATAGAAAGTACTAGAATTTAAAATTATTTCATTTGTTTATTTTTGTTTGTTTTGTCTCTCCTAGAATAGTAGCTTCAAGAAGGCTGGACCATATTTATTTTTATACACCATCAGGGCCTAGTTCTATATAGCATTTAACAAATATTTGTTGAATGAAAAAACTATTCCCATCTATAAGACAGGTCCTAAAGTAATATTTCTATTTATGACGACAGTTACTAAAAAACACATATAAAAGTTAAAATATTGCAATGTGTTATTTTATTAAGTTACTCTTTTGAGGAATGGCAATTTATACACAAGTCAATAAATCCCAAATTTTCACTTGTGATACACAGCAAGAAAATAATTTTACACTGCAATCCAGTACACACCATATACATAATGTTATATATAACTAACTGAAACAAAGTTTCATAAAATCATACTTACCCTTGGTAAGGGAAGTGTACTTTGATATTTTCTAGTCTATATCATAAGATATTGTGACCACTTTAACATGATTTTTCTAAACTAGCCAATGGTAGAAAGACAATGATGTGTGTACTATTTTCATTAATGATTTCAAAAGATTAAACTGACAGCACTGATTTCAAAAATGCAAAATTAATCTATTAGGGAAAAAATAATTCAATTATATTACCAATTCTAAATTATCACGTTCAAACTCCAGTATATTCTAACCATAGTCATTAATCAAAAAAATGGTAATCTATAGACACAGGATATTTCAATTAGAATCCCTTTGCTAAGGAGGGGCCCCAGAGTGAGTTCAGATTGGAAAGAGAAGGATTAAAACCTATGTAAACCTTCCCTATCTCATCTAATAGCAACCCAACTCTTGCAGACCAAAAACTTGGGTGTCATCCTTAACTTTTTCTTTCAATCACCAAATCCAGAGCACTGTTAAATCCTATTGGCTCTACCATCACAACACATCCAAAATCAGAGACTTGTGACTACTCTCACGCCACCATACTGGTCCAAGCCACCATCTCTTGCTTTAATTATTACAAGAGCCTCCTAACTGGACTCTTCAATTCTGCTCTTGTTCTCCTTCAGTCTTTTCTCACCAGTGCAGTCATTATGTCACATCTCATCATTCTTCTGCTCTAATCGTTCCCATCTCAGAACAAAAGCCAAAGTCCTGCTTAAAACCTGCAAAGCCGACCTGGGACCATGGCTCATGCCTGTAATCCTAGCACTCTGGGAGGCTGAGGCGGGAGGACTGATTGAGCTAAGGAGTTTGAGACCAGACTGAGCAAGAGACTCTGTCTCTACTATAAATAGAAGGAAATTAACCAAAACAACTAAAAATAGAAAAACAAAATTAGCCTGGCACAGTGGCCCATACGTGTAGTCCCAGCTATCCAGGAGGCTGAGGCAGAAGAATCGCTTGAGCCCAGGAGTCTGAGGTTGCTATGAGCTGAGCAACAGAGTAAGACTATCTCAAAAAAAAACAAAAAAACAACCTGCAAAGCCATACTTGATCTGCCCTCCCCAATCATTCTGATCGCAGCTACTATTTAACCACCATGGCCTCTCTCACTGTTCCCTGAACCACACCAGACATACCCCCATTTCAAGAACTTTGAACTTGTTTCCTCTGCCAGGAATGCTCTTACTGCAGTTATCCACATGGCTAGGTCCTTTACCTTGCTCATGGCTTTTACTCTAGTCATCTACATACAGCCATCTCTGGTCATCATACCTAAAATTTCTACCCCTCATCCTCGCACCCTCACTGCATTCCACAGTCCTCTTCCCTGCATTATTTTTCTTCTTACCATTTACCACTAATACAGTATATATTTTAGTAAATATTTATCTATTCTTATTGTCTTCTTCCTGTGGCATGTAATCTCCATGAGGGTGTAAGTGTGTATTCACTACAATATCCCCAGTACCTAGAATAGTATCTGGCACACAATAAAGGCTTAATAAATACTTGAATAAGTGAATGGAATGAACAAGAAAACACGGATAGAGATTACAGAACAGGTTAAATGAAAATGGCTAACTGCAGGTAAAGATCTATGGCTCAAGCTTCACCAGCCTTGGTGCATCAGTGATGTCTATGGCTATATCAGGATGTGGTAAAACAGGTTAGCCAACTATTACTGGAGAGACTGAATTAATGTTCTCTATAAGCACTCAGTGTTCCTTCCAGGTTCACCATTTATTCTGAATCAATCAAGAAGAAAATTGGGTGAAAGGAAACCACAAATTAAGAACACAATTGCCTACCCTTTATGAACTGTATTTTAACATGGAACTTATTATGAGGCAAACACCAGAGGATTAGATAAGGCTAGAATTTTGAAGTAATGCTACACAGATGAGAGAAATCAAGGGATCTGTCTAAGCCAGATTCTGCCATTAATCAATTCTATAACCGGAATCTCTCTAAACCTATTTCTTGTATCCCTGCTAAAATAAGGACCGTTCCTATAGAAGTCACTATCAACTAGTTGTTTTGAGAATGAAATAGTGGGTAAGCACTTTTAAAAGCATAAAATGCCATACACATACAAATGCGAAAAGTTTCTAAATTGAATTGTTAAACTAAATTGAGTTATTACTGTCCACTAAAAAAATTTACTAACAACAATGCTCTTTTGGGGAAACTAAGTTTTAAAACTTCATAGAATTATGAGTCAGGATGTAGTGAGTTTTCCCTTAGGCCCCAGATTAATAGAAAAAATACTTTACTAGTATATTTGCTTCAGAGAAATGAAATAAAAATAAACTTTTTTCTCAGTTACCATGTTATACTATGCAAATGTTTAACAAAGAATTGACTACAAGATTATTAATCTGTTACTCAAAACAGAATGATTCACACACACACACACAAATCAAGGCTTCAAACTAATCTTTAGTGGTTGCATATAAATAGTTGGCAGGGGGTGGGGAAATGACTGCAAAGGAGCAAGAGAACTTTTTAGGGTGATGGAATGCTCTACGTCTGAACATGAATGAATACATTTGTCAAAACTCATCAAAGTGTACATTTTAAATGGGCACAATTTGTTGTATGTAAATTATACCTCGATTAAGTTAAAGTAAATGAAAATGCTTTTCCCCTTAAATTAAAAAAATCACTCACTTGCCGCACGGTCGCAAAGAGAATTTGTGTAACGAGATCTAATACAACAGGGTTGAAGATATAAGAAAGGAGACAGAACCTGAGTCAGTGGCAAAAAAAGGTCAACTTCTGACCTTCTGGCCTAAAGCTCAACTCAAATTAGGGAAAAAAGAAAAAAAAAAGTAACAGCATAATGGCGGGAGGAAGCGGGGGACCGCAGCTGCTCAAGAAAAAGAAAACCAAAAATGGTATTACTTAAGAAGGCATACTGGGAAAAGCACAGGTTTGTGCACTTCAGGCCTAGATCCAGGTTTGAATCGATCTAGGCCGTTAAGTATGTGACCTTGAGCGTTCTCAACCAGAGCCTCAGTTTCTCTTTCTGCAAAATGGAGAAAATGATGGCTTAGAGTTTAACCTAACACACAGCAAACACTCAATACACAATTAACACACGATTATTATATAAAGTAACAGAATTTGGTGCTGGCTGGAAATGCATGCAGACCTAAGGCCCCCCAGTTTCCCTATCAGAGGGTCGTGGTCCCTTCTGTACGCCTTATCGTCCTCAGCCAGGCCTCACAGCCTTCTTACACACGCTCCACACGGCTTTTTCACCCTTCACACCAGCGGCTTCCAGGGGCCTCCCACCTCGTTGAGGAAGCGGGTGACATCATAGACTCGCCCGTGGATCACCAGCCATAGTTCCTTCAAGGAGTTGCGCTGCGCCACCTCTTCCAACCGATAGTAGGTGACGGAGGTCTCAACCCCCTGCTCTTTCCCATCGCTGCCGCTAGCTTCCACAGTCGCCATTGGAGCCGAGACACCTCCGCTTACCGGGCTTCCGCGGCTAACTTCCTTGAGGTAGAGCCCGCGCTCAGCCCTCCTCGGCTTCCGTAACCAAGGCCCATAAGGCCTTAGGAGGGTTCCTAGTAACAGCCAATCACACTTCCGAATAGTTCCTGGTTCGTTTTCTTTTCACCAATGACGCGAGGAGTTTAGTTCCAAGTCCCGCCCACTCCTCACCCGATCCTAGAAATAAAGGTCTGGTTCGAGGTCCAATTAACCAATCAGAGTCGTCCTGCCCCTCCAACCTCGCAAATCAGATGCCGTGATTTTGGAACGGCGCCTAATAGAGACGTATGGACACAGGTCTCCTCAGGAGAGAGTCCTCGTCGCTCGGCCTATGGACCTGCGGAGTCCTACAAGAGGGGAGTGAGTCTCCTGTTTCCCGCTTCCCCTCCCATCGCTGTGGATCCCTCCTGAATCATGCAAAGCTCGTTTCCTCCACTTCCTGTGAGCCTTGTATTCCAACCTCAGGTTTACAGCTCTGCTTTTCTACCTCCAGGCTGTAATCTGGCAGATCCAGTCTAAGGCTCAGTTTCCTCACCAATAAAATGGGCGGGCATGATAAGCTCTACCTTACAGAGAGGTTTGCATATTTAAATGAAAGTGTCTGTAAAGAGTTTGGTGCATAGTCATCGCTACGTAAATAATAGGCTGCTACTAGAAAGGCAGGGTGACTGGCCTGAGGGAGCGATTGGGGATAGGGTATAGAGTTCCCCAAGTTTCTACCACCACTCAGAATTTTCTGACGATCAGGCTCTATCCACACTATTTTCGTTTCTGCGAGACCTAAAATAGAATTCACCTCAACTGTCCCCCGCTGGAGGTCCCAGAACTTTGGAATTCCAAATTTGGTTAACATGCAGTATTGTGAGCTACTTATCTTTAACTTATTTTTAAGACAGATTGGTCTTCCTGGAATGTCATTTTCATCATGTCAGTCTCGCAGCCTACCATTCAGGACTCTCCACAATCCATTCGCAACGTCTTTTTAATATTTTCCACCATTTCCTTTCATAAGCCTTGAGCACCAGCCCAGACTGCTAAACCTGCTGGTTTTAAACCCACATCCGTGGACATCCCAGGTGTACCCAGTTAAGATATCCCTTTCCTTCCAATGCCTATTCACCTTTCTTTCTTTTTTGTTTTTTGGTTTTTTTGAGACAGAGTCTCACTTTGTTGCCCAGGCTAGAGAGTGCTCTGGTTTCAGCCTAGCTCACAGCAACCTCAAACTCCTGGGCTCAAGTGATCCTACTGCTTCAGCCTCCCGAGTAGCTGGGACTACAGGCATGCGCCACCATGCCCGGTTAATTTTTTCTATATATATTAGCTGGCCAATTAATTTCTTTCTATTTATGGTAGAGACGAGGGTCTCGTTCTTACTCAGGCTGGTTTCAAACTCCTGTCCTTGAGCAATCCGCCCACCTCAGCCTCCCAGACTGCTAGGATTACAAGTGTGATCCACCGCTCCCGGCCCTATTCACCTTTCAATCCCTCTTCAGTTTTGTCCTTCTACTGTTCTGAGTTCCCATGGTTCCATCCTCTTGTAGTACCTAAGCATATACCATTTTAGAAAACCCAATGTATGTGTAAACTTTAATTTTCCATATTTTACCTCCCTAATTAGACTGAAACTATGAGATCAATCTCATATGATTCTTAGGATCCTCCACAAACTCTAGATTCAAATATTTACACTTATTTCAGAGATATTTACTGAATATTTACTGTCACAAGTCCTATGATACGCTCTGGAAATAAAAAGATAACATAAGAAACAAGATCTCTGAAAGAAAAAAGTTTACCAAATATATATATATGTATTACCAAGTTATCAAATGTTTTATATATATAAAATTTAATGCTGAAATAGAGATTTCTAACAAATGCAATTAAACACAGCTCTCAACACATATTTGTTAAATGAATAATTCACTTGACCCTGGTACATGAGTCACCTGAGAAGTGTATGTTAAATATGCAGATTCCCAGCCTCACCTCAGAGATTCAGGTCTAGTGCATCCAGCTATACAACCAGAAATCAACATTTTTAGCAAATATTTTGGTTGATTCTAATGCAAATCTGCAGACAACCTTGGGAAACACTGAAATTTTTTTGAAGCCTATACTAATAGATATGTCTTTATCTTTCATACAATGACTTGATAAAATTATGCATTTCCTTTTTTACCTCCACCTAGGAAAGTGAGTCCAACAGTGTTTTTTAAAGACCTTGAAAAGATCCTCTCAGCAAAGGTGGAGCAGGGTAGGGGGGTGGAGATTGAAAAAATATATTTGGAGTACAGCAAAAGCAGGTGTACCTTTGGAGTGGGGACAGATTTCCAAGACTGGGAAGAGGATAATGGTTGGGGATCCCTGCAGAGCAGGGACCCCATTGGCTTCCTCAAAGGTACTTGCATGGTGATAGGATTTCAAAGGGGAAAGGCTACATGGTGCATGCAGGAAGACTGGACCCAGCTAGCAGACATACTTGAGTCTCAGTGTGGAGACTGTTCACCCTGCAACAGATCTCTCAGGCAGTGACCAATGTAGGCTGAATATAAACCATCTTCCTGATGGTTTGCATTGTGTAAAGAATCCCTGGGAAGGAGAGAAACACCAGTAAATGACAAAACTGAATGTGTTACCATTGTGGTAAGTAGAATGTGTATCAAAGGGTTTTCCAATTATTTAAATTTTTTTAGAAATTCAAATAGGTAAGTTGCAAGAATGATACAATGAACTCTCATATACTTTTAACTTAGACTTACTAATTGTTGATATTTTGCGATATTTGATTTCTTCCATATGTGCTTTTTTTATCTTTGTTGTTAATAGTGCGGAACACTTTCAGACATCATGACTCTTTACCTCCAAATAATTCTGCATGTATCTTATAAGAATAAAAACATCTTATTATATAACTGCAGTATCATTTTCAAATCCAGGGAATTTAACATTCATACAAAACTATTATCTGGGCCGGGCACAATGGCTCACACTTATAAATCCTAGCACTCTGGGAGGACAAGGCGGGCGGATCACTCAAGGTAAGTAATTCGAAACCAGCCTGAGCAAGAGCAAGACCCCATCTCTACTAAAAATAGAAGGAAATTAATTAGCCAACTAAAAATACATATAAAGCCTGGCACGGTGGCTCACGCTTGTAATCCTAACACTCTGGGAGGCCGAGGCGGGCGGATTGTTTGAGTTCAGGAGTTCGAAACCAACCTGAGCAAGAGCGAAACCCCGTCTCTACTACAAAATAGAAAGAAATGAATTGGCCAACTAATATACATAGAAAAAAAAATTAGCCAGGCATGGTGGTGCATGCCTGTAGTCCCAGCTACTCGGGAGGCTGAGTCAGAAGGATTGCTTAAGCCCAGGAGTTCCAGGTTGCTGTGAGCTAGGCTGACGCCACAGCACTCACTCTAGCCTGGGCAGCAAAATGAGACTCTGTCTCCAAAAAAAAAAAAATAAATAATATATATATAAATATATATAAAATTAGCCGGGCATGATGGTGCATGCCTATAGTCCCAGCTACTCTGGAGGCTGAGCCAGAGGGATTGCTTGAGCCCAGGAGTTTGAGGTTGCTGTGAGCTAGGCTGACGCCACTGCACTCTAGCCTGAGCAACAGAGTGAGGCTCTGTCTCAAAAACAAACAAACAAAAAAAAAAAACTATTATCTGACATGTTCTCTGTATTATTTTCCAATTATCGCAATAATGACCTCTGTGGAATTTTGGTGTGTCTGTGTGATCCAAGATCCAATTTAGGATTGTGTATTGCATTTATTTATGTCTCTTCAGTCTCCTTTAATCAGGAACACTTCCTCAACCTTTCCCTTTTTTTCATGGCATTGACATTTTTAAAGAGGATAGCCTCAAATTGATTTGATACAAAAAAATTATCGTAGCCTAAATGTATTGATTATAAATTCATATTCATAATTTATAGCATGTGTTAGCCAGAATGTCTGGCTTGGAATCCCTGTCCCTGCCACTCACAAACTCGATAACCTTAGCCAGATTTCTCAACCTCTTTTTTTCCACATGGATACTCACTCATTCCAGCATCATCTGATGAAAACAATTCGCCCTTGAATTGTTTTCATGTCTTTGTTAGAAATTGTTTGACCATATAAGTGTGGGTCTCTTTCTGAACTTTCTGTTCTGTCCCAGTGTTGTATTTGTCTATCCTTATGCCAATTCCACACAGTCTTTTTTTTTTTTTTTTTTTTTGAGAAAGAGTAATCCTTCAGCATCAACCTCCCGAGTAGCTGGGACTACAGGCATGCGCTACCTTGCCCAGCTAATTTTTCTATATGTTTTTAGTTGGCCCAATTACTTCTTCTATTTTTGTAGAGACGGCTTTCTTGCAAGCTGTTTGAACTCACGACTTGAGCACCTCCCCGCACTCGCCTCCCCAGAGTGCTCGGATTAATAGCGCGAGCCAGCCAAACGCAACCTGGCCTATCAATATGAGCTTACACCAAGCGAGTTAACTAAGATTACTTGGCTCTCAACAGAGCTGATTTTAAATTTTATATGGAATACACAAGGATGTAGAATTAATAGCAAAATCATTTTGAAAAACAAAGAAAATTATAGATTTATTATGTTGATTAAAGATTATACAAGCTACCATAACACACAATGTGTGGACGGCAGGTAGCTCCACGCCGATGGAATCCTAGCATCTCTGGAGGCAAGTGGGAATCCCAAAGTCAGCGAGTTTTAAACTAGCTGAGCAAAAGCGAGACCTGTCTCAAATATAAAACGAAATTAATGGCCAACAATATACATATATTCGAAAAAAATTAGATGGCGCATGATGCGGCATGCCTGTAGTCCAGCATTGGAGCTGAGGCAGGAGATTGCTCTGAGCCCAGGAGTTGGAGGTTGTTGTGAGCTAGGCTAACTCCACGGCACTCACTCTAGCCTGTCAACAGAGTGAGACTCTGGCTCAAATAAATAAATCACATTGATAGCCTGTACCCTGGTATGATGGATGAAAAGCGGCATTTGCCACTAAGGGTATCTTCCCTAAAACGCTGTAATCACAGTCATAGCATGTGAAAAATCAGGAAACCAAAATTAGAGGGACATTCTACAAAATACTCTGAGCAATCCTCCCGAAAAATGTCAAACTCATGAAAAGTCAAGCAAGGAAGACTCGAGAAATTGTCCAGAGTCTCAGTAAACTAATGGAGCATGACAATACGATCAATGCGTGGTCCTTGGATTGGATACAAACAGGAAAAAAGACACTGGGAAAAACTAGTGAAATCCAAACAGTAAGGTACTGCTGTTCTTTCTTAAGTTTTTGACAACATGTACCATGGTAATGTAAGAAGTTTAGATATT